AAAATCCGTCTTCTTGCGCCACCAGAGGGCCTTTTAAACAATAGGTAGTCTGTTAGCGTTGGTCAGTAGTAGTCCAAATGCAATACGAATGTTTCTTTTTTGAAAATTTGATCACGATTTAAATACAGTATTTAGTTTTAATATTACCGATATGTCATCGAAAAGAAAACGTGTTATATTATCATTAAAAGACAAATTAAAGTATTTGTTTCGATTATCCGGATTTTTCCTTATCCGGACTACCTTCATCCCCAATTAGTCCGGATAATCGAGGTTCTACTGTAGTATGTTTTCTTTATATATGATATTCATTTCCCTTCAAACTGAACGGAGTATATATACTGACAAAAAAAAATTGATGCACCATGAAGGAATTATCCAACTGGAACGAAATTTGATACAGTAATTTATTGTAAATGCACAGAAAAAAATGAATACAGTTTTGGAAGTTTGATGATTTATTCTAGAAAAACAGCTATACAAAGTGAGGAAGTCAATACAACCTTGGCCCACCTCTTACCTGAATAAAAGCTGTTATCTGGCATGGCATTGATTCATTAGGTTGACAAACTGTGTCCTAGGAATTTCTTGCCAAACAATGTTCAATTGGTGGGCTAAGTCATCAATATTCTCAAATGATTGTAGAGATCTGGCATTCCGGCTGGCCAAGAAAGGATGCTGCAACCATAAATACATTCATATGAGAGATGTGCTGTGTCTGGCTGGGCATTGTCTTGTTGTAAAGTATGTCCTGGGTGCTGCAAAAGTAGTAGTATCATGACAAATCTCAGAATGTCATCAACATATTGCTGTGCTGTGAGGGTGCCATGGACTACCACTAAGGGACTGCATAAGTTACCAAAACAATTTTGGCAATGGCCAGAATGTCTCCATACACATCTGTACTGGTCATCAGGACTCAGTTCAAAGCAGGACTTGTCACTGAAGACTATTTATTCCCAATCAGAACAGTTTCAAGTTAATTGAGCCTGCCACCACTGCAATCATTCTTGATAATGCCTAAGAGTCAGTGGTAGCCAGCATAATGGGCATAGATTCTGTTTGTGTAGTCATCTTGTAATGATCCTGGTGGTCACTTTGGCATTGGATAGTTGATAGCAATGACTCTGCTGTAGTCACTCTAGGCCAGAGGTGTCCAATCTTTTTGTTCCTCTGGGCCACATTGGAAGAAGTCAGAGTTTTGGGCCACAAGTATATATAATATATTTGTGACCCATTCCTTAAATATACAAGTATATTTAAGGATTAACACGTCTAGATTATAGTAATAAGTATTAAAACTTTATCACGAAAAAAAAATTACTTCTACAGACTTTAAAAAAATTACTTCTACAGACTCTTTCAATTTTTACTTAGAAATAAATAACTTCATTTATTATAAAGGAAACAAACAAAAGTTTATTTGAAAATACAAATTTTTGTTTTATTTGGGTCTGTAATTAATGAAAGTCGAGGAAACACCAATTTTTTTAAGCAAGAAATTCCTGCGGNAAAACACATTTTATAGAGAATAAATATAGCGTAAAATACTAAAAGTAATAAGAAATTAATATAAAAGACTAATCTAAAGGAAAGCAATGGAATTGTTTGGCTAGACATGAAGGATAATGTCTTGTAGAAGCTAGTTGGACATGAGCTGCTAACCTATTTTGCCCCGTGGTAAAGTGTGACATAATTGTCATGTAATTGTAATTGTATGCATTTATGATGGTCATATCATGAGGAATAATGCCTTCCAGATTTTTTAAGAGTAACTGGCCCCTATTCAGACATTACAGACGTGGAGTAAATCCAAAACACTTCACATGGCCAACCCATCCTGGCAAAGTGCAAACCCATGACTGAATTCCCGGTGTTCAGGGAACAGAATCATTGACCAATCGTGGATCATCACAGGGTAATGCTCACACAATGAGAAATAACACCAAACAGCTGGAAAACGCATGGGTTGCCCTTTGTTTTCGCAAAATTAGAAGCGAGGTCACTTGGGCACACTGACGAAATCTGAGACAAAGTTTTCATGAAAAAAATTGACGAAAACTAAAACCAACGATAACTGAAGTCAACAAAAACCAAAGTATTACTGTATTTTATTTATTTATTTCATCTACATTAAGAAATGTTGATGGACAGTAGATCTCTCTGATAAATAACAAGACTCATAACAAAAAAAAAAAAAAAAATAAATAAAATACATGAAAAAAATCAACCGTCATAATAAAACATAAATGAAAAAAAAACTATTTATATACCATAAGACAGAATACACAAAAATTCTTTAAAATATTAAATATGTATAATGCTAAAAGTAAAACATAAAAATTTAAAAACAATATAGTAACTGAACCGGAATACAGGATATTGCCAGAGAATTCATTTGCATAAAGCTCAAAAGAATTGAAATGCAATAGAATATGTAAATAAAGTTGCATTTATAAACCACTAATAATTATATAATAGCAAGGTTGTTACCAAAGTTTTAATCTCTAAAGCGTGAACATCAAACGTCGCTATCTTGTAAGTGGCGCTTGATGTTCAACGTTCACATTTTAGAGATGAAAACTTCAGCTGCAACCACTCTAATAAAACATTGACAAGATGTTTTATAATGTAAAAAATCGACATGAAGCATGTCTTCTACATTATTCGTGTTTCCAGCTACACAATAGAAAAAAAATCTATGTGAAATAGGTAAGTGGTAAAAAGGAGTAAAAATATAAGTGGTGGTGTCATGAATTAAATATATTGAAAAATATAAAAACAAAAAAAATTATACTTTAGAAGTTAATCTAGTATCAAAAACGTTCGATTCAGCACAACACACAGTCCTCAGAAAAACACCACACAAAAGTGCCGGCACTGCCAACTAAAACATGCACAACAACAAAAAAATATTGGCGTAGCCCAAGATATAGCCAAAGATTGCAGCGCCACAGCACTAGTGGAATTTAAATTTGCCAAGTGGAATGCTTTTAGTTAATTGACGTTTTGGTTGATCGATATTCAGATAATTGATGCTCTACTGTAATAATAACAATTTTCATATAATGGTCATAATTTATTATTATGAATTTCTAGACTTCATTTAAAATTTTAAAAAATAAAAAATAAATTTTCATGATCATTTCAGAATCCAAACAGATTTAAATATAATTATTTTTATAGCTTAACTAGCTGAGATATCCAGCTTTGCTTGTGAAAATAATATATTAAGTAAAGATAGTATACTCATATAAAAATGTATACATGGGAAAAGAATGTTTACTTAAAATAAACTTGTACAATCAAACCATGTTAATACGAAGTTGAAGGAACTTATAAAAACTGACACTTTGTATTAATGGACATCCATTTATTTCATTCAATTTTATACAGTTTATGCATTTTATTATATTTATTTAAAAATTTCTGAAGCAAACTTTACAAAAATCAATGCTCATACCATCAAATAGCAAAAGTCAACTTTTTCCAAGTTATTTCATTTTGTTTCTTGTTGTTTAGGATATGTTAAAATAAATAAACAAATATATGTTGCTTGAATTTTATTAATGCTAAGAATTCTAAATTTACTACTTTTTAAAAATAAATTAAAATAATTAAAATCTCTAAATTATGTAAAATTAAGTTACATGTTGTTTATTTCAAGTAAACAAAATAATAAATTATAAAATTAAAAGAGTTTTTAAAATTAAATTTATATAGTAATTATCTCACATTGTTTTGTGTTCTTTATCTTCATCACATACTCTATCAACAATAGCTTGGTACATGGCCTGAAATAGTTCATTTAAAATTAATTTATTTCTATTAAAAATTATGTTGTAATATTTATTATATTTTATGTTATTCTTTCAAAGCTTTGCTTATAATCTATTGTTTTTCACCAGAAAATAAAGCAAATTTGTTAAATACAATTTTTATTGTCTAATTTATATAAAAGAGAAAATATATAAAGTATTGAATACGATATTTTGTAAATACATATCATCATTAAATTAATATAAAATACAAAATAAAAATTATCAAGATTAACCTTATTTATCAAGAACATTAATACTCAACTCTTAGTTACTTTTAGATACCATATTTCCATGATTCTATGGCACCATCAATTCTAGATGAATCATGATTTTGAAATTGAATTTTAAGTTTTTTTTATACTGGAAAATGTTTTGAAATTTTATTTATTTATTTTTTTAAAGTAACAAGAAAGTCAGAAAAATAATACAAATGCAATAGATAATGTTTGGTTTGTCAGCTCTATTTCCATTCTTTTCTATATTTTCTACTCAACTACTCAACATCAACTATGTATTTTAATACTGCATCACAACATTAGTCTTGAAGGCATTTTAAATGTCAAAAAATGGAATTTAAATTAGATGCTTGTAACCATTAAAGCTGATTAAACAGTATAGCCAGAAATATCTATTACTGGTGTTTAATATATAACATAATCCACCACAATGACTTCTGATCATTATTTTGGACAAAAAATAAACACAAAATATAAACAATATATATATATATATTGTTTATATTTTAATATATATATATATTGTTTATATTTAAATATATACAGTAGAAACCCTCTAGTCCGCCCTCGGCTAGTCCGTCACTCCGGTTAATCCGACCGTGGTCGGAGTCGAGAAACTTGTCCCGACTCGTCGGTGACTCACCGTCCGTAGCGTTTTTCTGTGTTCGTTACAGTATATGTTTTACATTGTGTGTACGTGTAGAGTTTTGTGTGTGCTTTCAACATGTCAGGAGTGAAACGTAAACACGTTACTCTTTCATTAAATGAAAAATTAGCAGTGCTACAAAGACTGGACAAAGGGGAAGATTGTTTATTTTACTTTTTTCTGATAATCCGACCTTTTTT